GGCGGCTCCCGGTTGGCAGTACAGCGGGGCTAAGGCACGTGTAAAGGTGGGGTCTCCCCAGCGGGCAGAGGCATCTGTACCCAGCAGGTCTCTGTGCAGAGTAGATGGAAACACATCAAGAAGTCTCAGAGACAGGAGCAGGAGGGACAGGCAAAGTGGAGTGTAAATGGAGGGGAGAGAGAGACAGAGTGAGACGGGGAGGAAGGGAGGGAGTTTTGTAGCAGCCACGTGTTAAACTATTGCCATTGTGGGACTGGCATGTGGACAGACAGCAGCCATCGGGCCTGGGAACAGAAGCGGATTTCCCCCCAGGCAGGAGTGAGTTGATATGAAAACCTGATATGAAAGCTCTAACGTCTGTTCCTCTCTAAGTCCCCAGCATTAACCCCAGCGTTGAGTTTGAGGGAATCAAAGAGACGTGCAGAAACTTCTCTCTGCAGGTACGTTCAACCCCCTCATTCATTTGTTGGGGATTTTGCCCTGTGTTTTTTACCACCAATATGGAAATTCCCAGACAAAAACCTTTCCTGTTGGTATTACAGTGACCCCTGTAAACCCCATCCAAGATTAGGGCAATGCTGTGTTTGTTCCTTTCATCGCTGGGACTCGATCCTCCTCATCCTTCTAGGCTGGTCCCATCTACATGTGATCAGCTGTTCAAGTCCTTCTCTATTCCAGTTTGCCTTGAAGCAGTTCCTCAGAAACTCCACAGCTTATCAAATCCTTTTGTATGACAGCCACCCATCTAGTCTGGGGTCTCCCAATCCTCTTATCTTCTGCGTCTATCTTTAGCACCTTGTTTCCTGTTTGTTCTTCTGACCTTCTTGTCACACACCCACACCATCTGAGCCTGGTTCCCTCAGCTTTTCTATCATTAGTCCTACTTTCACTCTTGCCCTAATTCCCTCATTTCAAACTTGTAACTCCAAGCATCCATCTTAACATTTTCACTTCCTCTGTCTTCAAAATAGGTCCTGGCTCTTCCTCAGTCCCTGGCTTTTGGAGCCATACAAAAGTGCAGGCCTAATGACTGTCTTCTAGATCTTACCGTTCTGTTTGACAGGCGTTCTCCTATCGCAGAGCACTCCCTCGCTTCTCTCCCTTTACTCCATGCTTTTCCCAATCTGCTTATAAGTTTTTTGTTGAGTTCATCATTTTCTTGTACTATCACAGAATTGTAGGAACAGAAGGGACCTCGAGAGGCCATCTAGTCCAGTTCCCTACACTCATGGCAGGACTAAGTATTATCTAGACCATCCCTGACAGGTGTTTGTCCAACCTGCTCTAAAAAATCTCCAATGATGGAGATTCCACAACCTCCCCAGGCAGTTTATTCCAGTTCTTAACTATCCTTGACAGGAAACTTTTCCTAATGCCCAATTTAAACTGCCCATTGCTTTTTATCCTATCCTCAGAGGTTCAGAAGAACAATTTTTCTCCCTCCTCCTAGTAACAACCACTCATGATTTTATATACAACTCTACCCCGATATAACGCAACCCGATATAACATGAATTTGGATATAACGCAGTAAAGCAGTGTTCCAGGGGGGCAGAGCTGCGTATTCCGGCGGATCAAAGCAAGCTTGATATCATGCAGTTTCACCTATAACGCAGTAAGATATTTTGGCTCCTGAGGACAACGTTATCTCGGGATAGAGCTGTACTTGAAAACTGTTATCACGTCCCCTCTCAGTCTTCTCTTTTCCAGACTAAACAAACCCAATTTTTTCAATCTTCCCTCATAGGTCATGTTTTTTAGACCATTAATCATTTTTGTTGCTCTTCTCTGGACTTTTTCCAATTTGTCTACATCTCTCCTGAAACGCGGTGCCCAGAACTGAACACAATACTCCAGTTGAGGTCTAATCAGTGCGGAGTAGAGCGGAAGAATGACTTCTCATATCTTACTTACAACACTCCTGCTAATACATCCCAGAATGAGATTTGCTTTTTTTGCAACAGCATTACACTGTTGACTCATATTTAGCTTGTGGTCCACTGTGACCCATAGATCCCTTTCCACAGTACTCCTTCCTAGGCATTCATTTCTCATTTTATATGTGTGCAAGTGATTGTTCCTTCCTAAATGGAGTACTTTGCATTTGTCCTTGTTGAATTTAATCCTATTTACTTCAGACCATTTCTCCAGTTTGTCCAGATCATTTTGAATTTTAATCCTATTCACCAAAGCACTTGCAACCCCTCCCAGCTTGGTATCATCCACAAACTTTATAAATGTCCTCTGTATGCGATTATCGAAATCACTGATGAAGATATTGAACAGACCCAGACCCAGCACTGATCCCTGTGGGATCCCATTCGATATCCCCTTCCAGCTTGACTGTGAACCACTGATAACTACTCTCTGGGGATGGTTTTCCACCTAGTTATGCACCCACCTTAGAGTGGCTCCATATAGGTTGTATTTCCCTAGTTTGTTTATGAGGTCATGTGAGACAGTGTCAAAAGCCTTACAAAAGTCAAGATATACCAGACCTACCACTTCTCCCCCATCCACAAGGCTTGTTACCCTGCCAAAGAAAGCTATCAGGTTGATTTGACAGGATTTGTTCTTGACAAATCCATGCTGACTGTTACTTATCACCTTATTATCTTCTAGGTGTTTGCAAATTGATATTGAACCTTCTAAAACTTCTGTAGCTTTGCTAGTGGCTGGTCCCAGACTTACACGCCCATTGTCTTCTTGCAGGAGAGCATTGAATCTACAGACCATATACTCTGATTTCTTCAGCTGGTTTTCATGCCGTTTCTTTCCAATATGCATCTCCATGTCTCTCTGCATCTTCCTTCACTTCCTCTTTCCTCTCCCCCCACGAGCACTACGTCATCGGCAAAAGGCATGTGCCGGGGGCCACTCTCTGGCTGCTTTCTGTCAATGCCTCCAGCACCGACGTGAACAAAAAGGGGCTTAGTCCCAAGCCTTGATGTAGTCCAACTATTACTGGAAACTGTTCCCTTTCGCCACATGAACCTCGCGCTGTGGCAACAGCACCATCGTACATGTCCTGGACACGTCTGATATAAAAGCTTTATTCATTCAATGAGGGGTGTCAGGATCAGGCCCCTGCATAAGGCAAACACCAATGTTGGTCGCCCTTCAGCGCCTGCAGAACTCACCCTCTGCCCTGGGTCTCTCTGCAGGGAAAGCGGAGCAGCAGAAGCAGCAGTCTTTGCTCTTTCTTTAATTCAACCTTAGAGATTTTGATGTCCACGTTCAAAGATGGGAGTGCGGCGTTATCACTGGAGGTGAGAGGCTCCTTCCCTTGAATGTGCCCTGCAGACTAGTGCCCTCCGTGTGCCCCAGACCCTGTGTGCTGCTGTGCTGGGTTAGGAGTCTATTCTTGGGGGAGGGCGACATGTAGATACTCTTCAGAAAAGATCTGTGCCCTCCACTGCTGTGGGGAGCAGGGGTGCACCGTCTAGTGGTGTTTGTCTGTGTCTGTGTGCACATGCCCTCTAGTGGTGTGAATGCACATTTGTGTTTGTCCACCCAAATACACCCTCTAGTGTTCAGAACTGTTGTTGTTCATCAGAGGTGCTATACTGCTAACAGTTAATGGGGATTCTCCTTCAGCTCATCTGTCAGTGACCTAAGTTTTTCAGGCAGCAGGATCTGGGCTCTATCCCTGCCCTGCCAGACATTTCTGAGCCGCTGCCGGATGCAGCATAGAGAAGCCGTGGGCCTGTGACAATGTTGTTCCCTGGCATCTGTAATGGAGGGATGGGGGAGTGAAGAAGAAAGGACAAAGGGTTCTACCCCAGTTGGCTTCAGGTCCCTCTGAGAGCACTGCAGCCTCCTCAACTGGGAGAGGCTGTGATGCCCGATGCCCCCTGGGAACACACGGGACGTGGCACCTAAATCCCGGACTCTTCGCTCCCAGGGCCTTTCCTTTCCTATCCCCAGAACGCAACTCTCCCTTTCAATGCCCTCCTGAACAGCACCTCCCTCTGGGATGGCGGAGACAAGGGGGACGTGGGGTCGGCCGTGACGGTCCTGCTGCAGAGCGTGGAATGGGCTGCGCTGGCCACTGCGCTCCGGTCTCCAGAGATAACCACACAGAACATGACGACAGAGTCTATGGGTGAGGGGGGACGTGTGGCTCTCGGTGCCACCTGCTGGCTGCCGTGAGATACGGGGTTACACACTGTGCCCCAAATCCACTGGAAGTTAGAGCCTATATACCATTGTGGATGTGAGCCTGTATTCAGTACAGACACAGAGCAGCACTGCCCCTGCCCCAGGAAATATAACCCAGCCCTGCCAGTGCCCCCAGGAGCAACAGCAATGCCTGAGAGGCCTTTAAATGTAATATTTGGCATTCCACCACTAGGGGCTGCCACACTGAGCCAGTCACCTCCCCCCACCCGCACTATTCCCCCTGCTGGGGACGCAGCATCCACAGGGAGACAGAGCCAACATGGGGAGAGGGGATATGGGGGGGTGATCAATGGAACTCGGGGGGGCTCCAAACTTCCCCCTCCCACAGTGCGAAGTGCCCTGAAGCCCCCCGGCTCCAAGTGGAGTGGGAGGGGGGTGGATCTGGCCCAGAATGGACAGATTCCCAGGGAAGGGGTTTCACAGCGAGGGGCTCTGTCATTCCTCACCCCCACCTCCCACAGCTATCCAGACGCGGCTCATCACAGGGAACTGCAGCCAGGACAGTGAGATCTTCATCTTGAGAGCTCACGAGGAGACGATGGACGTGCACTGTGATTCAATCCCCAGAACAGCGACACGAGGTACCATCTTGAGGGCTCAAACCACAGCACAGAGCAGTTCCCAGGCACCTAACCCCAGTCTGGGTTCCCACGTTCCTCCCTCCCTCCCCATGGATCCCCAGGCCGGGCCCTGGCCTCTGTCTCTAGCCCTGGAGTGCTCCTTGCTGGTTGAGCCAGTGGTTCTTGGACTGTGGCCATGGAGCTGACACCGTCGTTCCTGCCTGTCCCACAGCTTGAGCCCCGAGCAGTGAGGAGTTGGGGGCAGAGGGGAGACGGCTCATGAAAGGGTCTCTGGTATGAAGTGGGCCCAGAGAATGGAAAGGGCAGGAACGCCCTAGTCTAGCTAGACCCCCAAATGGAGATGTGGGGACCAGGGTAACGTATACCACAGCTGCCTTATTCAGGGGCCCGAATCCTCCAGCACCAGGGGAAGCTCATCCCTGGCCAGCCCCTCTCCTGGTCTCGCTGAGAAAAACTGAATCTTCGTCTCTGCATCCTGCAGCCGGACGCGTTCCTGGGGCTCCGAGGTAGGAGGTAGCACAGTCCAGTGGTTAAACCTTAAGAGTTGTGGCCAGGATCTGCCACAGACTCACTGTGACCCCTGGGCCCCCGGCCGGCTCCTTCTTTGCCATAGCGTCCCCAGCTCCCTAACGAGGGATCATCTCCTCTCCCAGCAGGTTTGGGGGCTGCTGCTTTTATTTCCTACTCCAACCTGGACTCCATCGTCAATGCGAGACGTCTCAGCGAGGGAAATCTACCGGCTGGAGGGAAGCTGGAGAAGAGTCATCTCAACTCCAGGGTGGTGAGTGGGGCCGTCGGAGACGGGAGACCCATTCACCTCTCCAGACCCGCAAACTTCACCCTGCGCCACAGACAGGTGAGTGAACGAAGAGCCTTTCCTTTTGCTCCATATCTGGGGCTCCAGAGGGGTCTATAGAAGGCACCATCTTCTGCCGGGCATTTGGACCGTGCTGCCTTTCTGGCTCCTGATGGTCCTGAGAAGAGGAGGCCTCCTTATTCCTGACGCGTTGGGGCTGTCTTATTGGAAGAGGTTACCGGGGGTCACACCACGACACATGGCTGTGCAAAGTGATCTAGGGTAACAGCTTTGCCTAGCTCACCCCTGAGCCGGAATAACTGGAAAGCCGCTTTCTGTAGAGATGGTGGTTCAGGGAATCAGCATGAAACACTTTGATACGGTAATGAAGTGGTTAGGGTGCATATGTGTATATGTGCACACAGCACTTCCCCCTGCTGGATGCAGTCAGAACTGCTCAGCCATGTGCCACGTTCCTTATAGTGCTAACAGCTAGCAAGGATTTATTTCCCTTTCGCTCCAATAGCAGGGCCTGTGATTTTGGAGCAGCAGGATCTGCGTTCTCTCTCTACTTTCACCGGGATGGCCCCAGTGGGCACTGGGGGCTGCGTGGGGAGAGCCGTGGAGCTGTAGGTGGCCTTGGGTTTGCTATAGACATGTGATAACAGAAATGACGTTCCGTGATCCCACGAGGATGAGGATGATTCTGTTGTATTTCCAGGCCAAAAAAGAGGAGGAAGAGGCTCTCTGCGTCTACTGGAAAGTAGTGGCCGAGAGCGGCAGCTGGTCTCCGGACGGCTGCACCACCGTGCAAACGAACAGCACTCACACCACCTGCAGCTGTGACCATCTCTCCAGCTTGGCCGTCCTAATGGCTCCCACCACAGTGGCGGTATCTCACCGTGAGACTCGGGTCACAGGGCTGGACCCTGAGCTCCGCACTCAGGCATGGGCAAAGCTCTCCCTGGAGCGACTGGAGTCTTTGTTGGGGAAAAGGCTGAGTAGGAACCGAGGGTGCTGGGGTGGGGTCGCGGGTGATTCTCCCTTTGCTGTTGTCAGGGTTCCTTCCCCACTCTTG